GGCAAGAAAACAAATTCAACAATTTCCTAAAAAAGAGGTGCGTGAGAAAGCAAATCGGAAAACCAATTCTCTTTTGATCGACCCATAGGAATAGGAAGACAAATGTTCTTCATTCAAGTCCTTATCATCACCTATTTATTAAAGACTTTTGATTTTATCATGCATTTGAAGGAAAAAAGAGTTTTCCACCTGCCTGTATGGTGACGTTTCAAAGACAAAATTAATTATATATTTTTTGAGATAGAGTAATGCTACTTGCAGTCGCTCACTGCAGCAGTCGTCCTATATGACACACACATGATATGTAGTTATTTGATGCATTAATGTGGTAGTTTTTTTTTACCACATTTAATGCATCAAATACACACTTGACATGTGTGTGCCACATAGGGCGACTGCTGCAATGAGCGACTGCAGGTAGCATTATTATTTGAGATAGCATGATTTGACACGTGATTCATTACTGTTACTTTGCAGTATTTCTTTACGAAGAGTGCTCACATTAGAGAAATTATACGAGATTCAATAAATCTAAAATCGACTATATTAATATTTTTTATTAAAAATATATTAATACAGCCGGATAAAAATTATCATTTTTATGACATTGCGAAGGCATGTGACAGCATCAACTAGACATCCTGCGACAGACTCCCATGTCTCCGCTGCATGGTGCCGACGGCCAACTCATGGATCACTGTTACACGCTTTTTAAATTTGGTAATTGGTATTGACCAAATGAATTGAAATCGCATTTACCAATTTCATGCTTCTCTTTCGGGATTTGTATCCCATTCCACACGCAATAACCAATATTCAATACGTCTTCGTACACATTCAAACTAAAAATGATTTTAGCAAACAACCTTTTGAATAATTTCCTCCATCTAATTATTTTTATTTCGTAATTTTTTTCAAAAAATATATTATTCACAGTAGAATAAAAACATTAATAAATAGATGAAATTTGTTCACTTCACTGTAGTGTTCTAAAAAACGTAAAGTGTGATAAGCATGGAGACGAAGTTTCAAGCTTTTACAAACTTAAGCGAGTTTCAGAGAAAAAAACGTTCTCTTATTTTTAATATTATTTTAAAATTTAATCATTCTAAAAATTATTTAATAATTAAAATAATACATATCAAACATCTAAAACTGTAAAATATTATTGGGATGAAAATTAAAATCAAGATTTTAATTTAAGTCAGAGTCAATAATTAATTTCAATAACACATTTTATGGGACCCACAACTTTTATCGACTTCTATCAAAATTTACTAAAAAAATTATTTTAATCCCCACAAAATAGGGGTTATACTTATTTAATAATTCACATAATTAGTCAATTACACAATTTTTAAGTTTTCAAAATGCAAAAAAATAGACTATTTTTCATAATTTTAATTTTCAACTAAACAATTCCTACATAATAGATTTATGAGAACTTTAACATAATGTAGATAACACCATAATTTATATTTTATTTAACTCTTTACTAGATAAAGTCATTTTTAACTTTTGTATACATAAAGTTTTTTTAAAAACTAGAAATTAAGTCAAATAAAAGGTTTTTTTAAAAAAAATTAAAAAAATTAATAAACTAAAGTCGAATAAAAGAATCAAAAATAAAATAAATTAATAAAGAGCATTTAGGGAAGGCGAAAGAGTGGAATGAAAAATCCAACTATTTAGAAATTGTAGAAGAAAAAAAAAAGCCTTTTATCTTTCGAGCCTAAGCGGTTTAGATGAATTTTTCGTAACACTGCTTCAATGTCACTGATTTTGGTGCAAACGTGCAGAGTCAAATTCATTTTTATATATAATTATTAGAGACAAATTATTGAGTGAGCATGTCCTGAGCATGATTAAATCCTAATACAACTGTGACATACATTAATTAAATAATTTAAGATAGTAGCATTCTCGTACGCATGTTTGATCCCCATTTTTTCCTCATTATA